TGACGCGTGGTTGAGCGCCGTTGCTTTGTAGGGGGAGCTGATGACGTGCCTGTAAATATATATATATATATTTAAATGCAGACAGTCAGCACCACAGTTTGCTCAGTAAAACGCTGGGATGGGCTCTGATAAGAGCTGGCACCCTTGCTAATATGAGACTTAACCCAGTGATTGCCAGGCTTTACAGGGGAGTGGGTGGGAGGCAGCAGCTGAATGAGGTGACATGAAGCAAGACACGCCAGATCCAGGCTTTACCTGTTAATGGGAAAATTAAAGGAGATTCCCCCAAAACCTTTGTGCTAAGCTGCTGCCTGCTTTCCTGTGGGAGTTTATAGAGGCTATTGATACATTCCATGGCAATGCAATAAAACAATATGTAATAAAAGCAAGACAGAACGTAGGCTGCAATGACAGAGGCATGTGTGAATTATTAAGCTGGCAGCAGTCACAGTCAGTGAGGGAACTATAGATTTCTTCCTCCACATATAGTCAGGGAACACTGGTAAAAGCATCAGAGTATTTCATCCTTAAACATGTAATTAGTCAGCAGGGTGAAAATCACTCCCTCTCCAAAGGCTGCTTGGTGACAGCATGGAATGACTCAGTTGTTTCCCCGGCACGGTGCAGGTGTCCCTGTTGGTCCTCAGCTCTGGCCCCGTGAGTCCACAGGGTCTGGCCTTCAAGTAACCAGTGTTATGGGGGATGCTTTGCTCCTCTAAGCCTTCCCTCTCCTTTAATTCCCCCCAAATCCTGCAACAGGCTGTGTTTAGAGGAGTGATTGCAGCTAAGCAGGGGGTGCAGAAGGAGTGGATCAGAGAGAGGGCTCTATTTCCTTGCACATAGCAAGGACCTTCACTCTGCCATGAAGCCCGGGGAACTGCTGCAACGAAAACCTTTCCAAACAGATAAACTACACATCAGCAGATCAGCAATAACTGGGAGCCAGTGCTTTTTCCCCTCAGAAAGCTGCAGGAGGGGTCTGCAGGACACGCTGCATCTCTGCATCTGCTCAGGAGGGTCCTACCGGTGCAGACCAGTCTCATGACACCAAATTCACAGCAGTTCCAAGCTGCTGAGGAGCTGACCCAATTATTTCCGCTATTTCTCCATTCATTGCTGATGCAATGCAAATTCTTCCCAGTGAGATGGGAAAAATCACAAGAGTTTCTTGCTGAATCACAAAGCAAAGCAAAAAGCATGGCATGCACCGTAGAATCCTGGAATCCTTCAGGTTGGAAAAGACCTCAGAGATCGAGGTCTAACCATTCCCCCAGCACTGCCATGCTCACCACTAAACCATGGCCCCGAGGTGCCACATCTACATATTTTTTTTAAATCCCTCCAGGGATGGGGACTCACCACTTCCCTGGGTGCCAGCGCTTGAGAACACGGGCACATCCCCACCTGCCGTGGCTGGAGGGCTGTGGCACCCAGGAGCCATTTCAACACTGATCGTGCCGGGTGTTAGCAAGTACCTGCCTGCTCCTGCCGTGCCGAGGACTCGAGCAGCAAACCCCATTTCTTGATGGTTCGTTGGTCAGCATCAAGGAGGAGAGCAGGCCTGAACTCCAAATGGATCTGATTGTCCGGTCTGTCATCTGCATCAAAAAGCAGGGCTTGGGGTTTATCTGGTGTTCAGAAAAACAGAATGCAATTAATGCATATAAATAGGTGTATATACACGTGCATCTCTATGTGCTCTGGGCAGACTAAAAGGTTTCTCACCCAAAACAAAACGTTCACTTCATTTTCACATCTTCAGTGACTTCAAAAACATTTTAATACACAATATATCTGGCTGAAGAAACAAATGTTTTCATTTTTCAAGCATCTTCCCAGGAAGAATTGGGCTTTTTTTTTTTTTTTTTTTTTTTTACCCAAAGCAGTTGACCAAAACTGGCATGAAAGCAGAAATATTGTTGGGCCATCCAAATATTAAATTTTCCCCGGAAAAATGCCAGAGATAACACCACTGCCGTGATCCCACTGTGCAGATCTGATGTCTCTGCACCCACCCTGCAGCAGCCCCTGGGGCTCAGTTTGCAGTTGCTCCCTTCCTTTTGGTAAGTCATAAAGAAGGGGCTGCAGATGCTGCTGGGGGACGTGGTGCTGCATTTTGGGGAGATTTTGCCCTTCCCCCAAACTGCTGCCACACCATTAATGACTTTCTCAGCACAGCTGCTCCAAGCATCACCACACACAGGTTCCCTTTTGCATTCCCAGCACTGAGCTGCTCACACAGATACAGCCCATCAGCAAAATGTAAAAATAGCTGAAAATATATAATTAGGGTGGATGCACTGTGGACTTAATAGGGTTTTTCTGTTTCTTCCTTTGCTGGCCCATTAGACACAAATCCTGGATGGAGGGAGGCCACTGGGGAGGGAAAGGGAGCGCTTTGCTGTGGTATGTGCTTGGCAAAACCCTCAAATATTTTCCTCAGTTTTATATTGTCTGTGTTTTTTATTGAGCACCACACAGAAATTGCAGCAGATTGATTCTTTCACAGCTCCCCAAAGTTGAAATGCTTTGGAGCCGAAAGCTCAATGCCTGCCAAACTTCATAATTAACTGTAATAACTCTTTAATTTGAACTTTAATTCAAACACCCATGTTTCTAGGGGACTGGAGGGGGAAAAAAAAAATAAAGCAAAGCAAACCAAGTGTAACCAGTTCTGGTAAAATAAAGCAGCAGCCAGAAGCTTGTGCTGTGCCAGAGGTAACTGGAGGTCAACTGTCCTATCCTGGGTTGAAACGACCACAGAAATTGGCCTCTTTTCATCATATGAGGAGGGAGAAAAAAAATATATAGTTCTGGATCTATTCACTCAGTCAAGGGTTTCTAATGGTCCTGTTGCTGCAGCGTGAGCCGGACTGGGAAGCGCCAGGAGCATGTGAAAACGGGGAGCCCAAAGGAGGGTTGTTCATGCAACTTCTCTGCTCGGGCAGACGAGCCCCGAGCTGTCAGACCGTGCACAGCTCTGCCAGCCAAACCCCTGCACTGACCCACCTTGGCTGAGCTCAGCACGGTGGCTCCGTCGGGGAAAAGCAAATCGTTGACAGGAGGAGCAGGAGAAGGAGCAGGACCAGACAGGGAATGGAGATTACAGACCCTGGGAATGCATCCACAAATTCAGCAGGGCTTCAGAGCTGTCAGCCCAAGCCTCCGTGAAGAAGCTGAGGATCAATAGGGATATATGGCTGAAATGGTCTCCTCCAGGCTGAACGACACCAAGGAGCACCCACCTGCCCTGCAGGACCTGTGGATTCAGCCTGGTTTGAGGCGGAGTCAGCCCGATCCGTGGTGACTTCTCACCATTTCACAACAAAGAGCCCGGCCACTAAGGCACTAAGCCTGATCCAGCACCTCATCAGTGCAGGATTACTTTTTCTTTCCTTTTCCTTTTCATTCCTTGAACCTTTTTCTAATAACAATAATTAAAAAAGAGAAAGCTCCCTAGCATCATACCACAGGGCTGCCACCTTTCCCACAGCTTCACGCCCCCACCCCGAGGGGCTGGAGGGGGGTGCCGGGACTCGCCTCTCAGAGCCGAGAGCTGGGCGGCTGTGATGGATGTACCGACAAGGAGACTCAGATCAATGAGCCTGCCAGCCCCTACCAGCAGATGAACGGCTTTCGCTCTGTGGGTACAGAGTCGTTAACTACCCAACCCGATCGCTGTCATTAACGAGCAATCTCCGCCGTGTATCTGCTCGGCTCTGCTTTATTTACCGACCTGTCTCCCGCTCCCTCCTTCCTGCATCCACACAGGGCCCTTCTCCCCCCATCCAGTTGTGCTCGCAGACAGGCTCTGGTGTCTCTGTTGAGCCAGGCTGGATCCTGGAGAGCGGGGAGGGGGAAGATTTCACCTCCCCCCCCCGTCTAAACTGCTCCTGTAATGCCGCAAGGAGTCTTGCTTTGAAGCTCTGGCCCGGCTCGGCACAGCTGGCTCATGGCCACAATTACTTCCAGTGCGAGCACACACAAAAAGCCGAGTGAGAGGCCGAGGAGTGGGTAGTCGGCTTGGAACGAGTCAATCAGAGGCAGCCGGCGCTAATTAGTCCCTGTGCCGTTCCCTGTCACAGCCCCCCCCATTACGCAGGGACAAGAAGTCTCTCGGCGGGTCAGCCAGGGCCACCCGGGAGCCACTGGAGAGCCCAGAGGGCAGGGGAGGATTTGAGGGAGTCACAGTCTGAGAGTGCAGCCCTAAATTGCCACTTACGGAGCACTGATCCCACCTCTTTCACTCCTTCCCATTGTCATGTCCGGTGCCCTCCTCCTTGCTGTCTTCTACCACAGCCATTCCACTGCAGAGTTATTTCCATTTTGCTTGATTTTCCTAAAACTAGGGGGAAAAAAAAAAAGAGAGAGAGCCTACCAAAGGAGTCCCAAGTGCCTGATCACGAGAACCAGGTATTAAGCAGGGAGCCAAGAAGAAAAGTGCAGCAGAAACATTGCAGTAATATGGGATGATAACCCTGCAAGTGCTGGGAGGTGGCTGAATAGTGAAATTTTCTGGAGCACTGTGGTATTGTAGAAGAGAAACCAGCACGCAAATATTTTCATTCAGCAGCAGGGGAAGCGAGAAGGCAGGGCTGTTCCCTGGGGAGCCAGCGAGCAGCTACAGATCAGGAGAGCCATTAGAAGTAAGGGATGGCAATTGCTCAAGATTATGGCACTGGCAGATAACTGGCAAAGTCAGACCGTGGTGAGTGGCCTTGAGCAGAGTATTTGGTGCTTTGTTAGTACCAGATTAACCATTCCCTAAATCAAAAAGTAATAGCAGCAAAAATCTGTCTTTGCCACTGTTCAAGGACTATGACAGGGTCTCTGCCCCAGCCATGGGTTCCATGGGTTGATTTAGGCTCCACCAAAGCCAGCAGGACTGTGTGGGGGTTGAGTGAGCCCCACATGTGCCTGGACAACTTCCCAGGAGGACATACCTCTCTGTGCTGAGCAAGAGTTTCAGGGCTAACACCAACCACGCTCTTTTTCTTCTGTGTCCCCAGGTCCTCCCCGCTCTCAGCTGACCAAGGCTGGCTTAGAAGACTGTTCCCTCTCCCAGGAAAATGGGGACTGATAGTGAAAACCCAGTCCTGAGGAATGTGCTCATCAGCTTCAGCTTGCTCCTGCTGGGCACTGTCCTCAAGCCTTTTGAGTGCCGGCTGGAGGCGACGACAGAGCCGGCCGAGAGGACGGCGATGGATGAGGGGGGCGGCCTTGCCAACTGCAGCCCACCCATCAAAGAGCAGCCCATGGTCTTCCACCACATCTACAACATCAACATCCCGCTGGACAGCTGCTGCTCATCCATGTTCAAGTCTTCGGGCGAGGAGGTGAGTTCAGAAGACGAGCGGCTGGCGGAGTACACGGAGCAGACCTCCGACACCGAGAGCCAGGTCACCTTCACCCACAGGATAAACATGCCCAAGCAGGCCTGCAAGTGCTCCACCTCCCTCCCGTCCCTGCAGGAGCTGCTGAGCAGGATTGAGATGCTGGAGAGGGAGGTCTCCATCCTCCGGGACCAATGCACCTCCAATTGCTGCCAAGAAAATGCAGCCACAGGTAGTAACGACATCCCGTTCGCTCGTGCTGGGGACTGAGGGCTCGAGCGAAAGGCAGGAGAGAGAAATACAAAACCTTTGTGGTGCCACTCAGAGTGCTGATGGAGGTTCACCCATGATGGGGCTCTGCTTTAGTGGAGAAGCTTGGCTCAGGTCCTGTAGGGCAGGAAAACCCCTGGGAGGGATTTGGTCACTTGGGTTTGGATGCCCTGCTCGCTGCGTAAGAGCCAAAGCTGAAGTGCAGGATGGATAAAACTGCAGCTGGGGAGGTGTGAGCAGGGGGGATTTCCCAGCCCTGCAGTCCCTCAGACGCTGTTAGACATCAGCCACTGCTTGTGGGACAGGGAGCCGAGACAGAGCCGCTGCTCTTCCAAGCTGTCCCTGGGCTGAAGGCAGCACCATGGGAGCTGGCAATAAACCCCTTCATCTTCTCTGTAGGAGGAGTGATTGCATCTGAAAAAAAAAAGTAATAAAAAATACAAGGAAGAGCTCCTGTTGCCGTGAAAGATGCAAACAAAACCTATAAAAAAGGTACAAAACCATCAACAGGATAATTCACCTGAGTAAAAATATGTGCTTCTGTGAAGCTCTCCAAGAGCCCCCATCAGAGTCAAAGACATCCCCTTGTTTCACCTAAGCTGCCCTTCAGGGCCAGGGAAGCAGCATGGAGCTGAAATGAGATGGGTTAGGAAAGGTTTGGGCTGGAAGCTGCATTTCCATGGCACAGGAGTCAGCATGCTGACAGTTCTCCTTATGTCTTGAGGAAGAGGGGCTGTCCCTAAGGCCATCCATCCCAAATGCAGCACAGCCCTGCTTGTGGCTCTGATGTATCAGGGAAGAAAACACCAAACGGGGACAAACAGGCAAGGCATCTTTCCAGGGGGAAAACTGCTTCTCACACCAAGAACAACAGGGAGGATGAAAAATTTTAAAGTAACCCTTTTCTCCCCGATGCCTACTGGTTTGCGGTTTGTTTTTTGTTTTTGTTTTTTTTTTTAAGTTTTGCAGCTATTAGTGTGACTTTTCTGGTGGTACCCCAATTCCTCTATGGGTGGAATAAGACATTAAGATAAAATGGGTGCAGCCCACACTCAGGTTAACAGAGTTGGACCAAGGGTGTGTGGGCTGGGGAGGGAGAAACCACTGGCTGCACTGGAGATTCCAGCCCCAGCCACCCCTGCAGGGTGGCTGGGGCTGGAATCTCCACTGCAGCCAGTGGAACTCAGTGCATTCCCAGCTCTGGGTTCAGCTCTCATCCCCCCTCAAGGTGAAAGTCAGCAGCTGCATGAACAATTAAACCAGAAAACACCGGTGTGTGCAAAGCGAGGGTTAAAATCACGTAGGAAATGCTGTGGGGAAAACCCGTTTTTCCGGAATTCATTTGAAACTCTGATGGGCCTATTTGGGTTAACTCGCAAACCCGGCAGACAGTCCCATTAAACATTCATCGGGCTCGGTGGAGTCTCCGCTCCCGTCGCAGATGCCGAGCTAAAACCGGAGTAATTTCATTTACTTTCACCGGGAGTTGCTTTCAATTCACTGCCCTGCAAAGGAGATCAGGATCCCTACCCCACCGCCCGAGGCATTTCCCTGAGGAAAATTCCTCTTTCCTCCAGCACAGCTTACTTACAAGCATCCTCTCTCCTCTTGATCACTTAACTCGAGGCTGAGATCTGAGGAGATGCTGATTGGCATTCCCAGTATCGGCAGTCTGGATGGGAACTGTTCCTGCAAAGTAACCCAAAGGGGGTCTGTGTGGCACAGCATGTGACTGAGCCCCTTATAAAAGTGCAATCTGCTCACCCCCCTCGTAGGAGCTGCTTGGACAGGTCAGCTAGGATGGAAAATTGGTATGGGGGACAAAGAGTCCTGGGGCTTGGGGTTTTTTCCTGATGCAGAGGTTTCCCATGGGTTGGAGGAATCCCAGAAGGGTTTCTGTTCTTCCTTGGTTCGCTTAAGGAAGAAAAGCAGTAAAAATCAGCACGGAAAAATTAGCCTGGCTGGGACAAACCCTAAGTTGGAGCATTGGGTCCCTGTTTCGTGGGAAAACAGGAGCATTGGCAATATCAGTGGCTGGTGCCTTGGTCCCCGTGCATCCCTCCTCACCCCAGAGCATCCTGTGCAAGGCTGCCAGGTTAGGAGGGGGCGTTAGAGGTGGTGGCCATGGTGTCCCTGTGATTTCCCTGCTTTCCCACAACCCCAGCATGCCCAAACCCCTGAAACTTTGTGCAAAGCCATCAGCTCTGTCTTAATCAGGCTCACCAGGAGAGGGATGATGTCTTTGGGCACGTATCTGCTTCTCATAGGAGAGAGGATGAGCAGACCAGGATCTCTTGCCTGTAAAAAAGCAGAGATGAGACCAGAGGAGCCATGGCTGGTGCAGAGGTTTTCACCAGGGAAGGTTTTTTTCCAGTAAGAGGGTTAGGGATGTTGCTATCAACTAAGCGCTGAGTCGAAGAGAAACCAAAGGGAGCACTCGCATCCCAACAAGGCTGATGGCACCCATAGTGAAGGAGGCCACTGCTCCCAAGGGAAGATAACCTCCTGGAGATCCACCCAAACCCCACCATGACCCCGTATCACCAATTCTGCCCCTTCCAGCCCCGCAGTCACCGGCTCTCAGAGCTGGGCGTGCTCAAACAAAGGGAGGACTTGCCTTCCCTGCTCGCCTCGCACCTCCCCTCCCTTCCCCAGCCCGTCAAAGGGCTGACCCGAGACCAACACTGACCCTTCTCCACCTCGCCCGCGGTGGGCTCTGACCCTCGGTCCTGCATCCTTGCAGGGCAGCTGGATTACATCCCGCAGTGCAGCGGCCACGGGAACTTCAGCCTGGAGTCGTGCAGCTGCGTGTGCATGGAGGGCTGGGCGGGCAGCAACTGCTCCGAGCCGCTGTGCCCGCGGGGCTGCTCCAGCCGCGGCGTGTGCCTGGAGGGCCAGTGCATCTGCGACAACGACTACGGGGGCGAGGACTGCTCCCAGCTCCGCTGCCCCGCCGGCTGCGGCTCCCGCGGGCTCTGCGTGGACGGAGAGTGTGTCTGTGAGGAGGGTTTCACCGGCGAGGACTGCTCGCAGCTGCGGTGCCCCCGCGACTGCTCGGGGCGGGGGTACTGCGTGAACGGCACGTGTGTGTGCCAGGAGGGCTTCGCCGGCGAGGACTGCGGGTGGCTGCACTGCCCCAACGCCTGCAGCGGCCGCGGGCTCTGCAGGGACGGGCTCTGCGTCTGCGAGGAAGGCTACGAAGGGCAGGACTGCTCAGCAGGTAGCGGGGGCGTGCATGGGGAGAGCCAGGCATGAGTGCGTAAGCGAGGGTTTCAAGGTGCCCAGAGCCCCACAGGAGCACCACGGAGTCTGGGAGGAACCCATACCCGGCAGAGCACATCACACCCTTAAGCCCTCCCTGTTGTCTCTGTCTGCAAAGACACGACAGTTAGGTGTTTGGGAGGCAAGCAAAAAGCCAGCGAGGTTCATTCCAACATGGGGGCTAAACCCCTGGTGCAATTGTGGCTGCAGTCAGGTTCTCCTGAGCCTTTGCCTTGCTACAGCTGTTCCTACACCCCCAGAGAGCACGTAACCCCCAGCCCAGAGCCCGTGTTCCACAAGCACAGCCACACACCCTCCCGCACAGCCCCGTGGGAGGATAAGCCACGCACACCCTGACACTCTCCTCTCCCTTTGCCCCTCCCACCAGTGGCTCCTCCCGAGAACCTGCGAGTGACAGGGATCAGCGACAGCTCCGTGGAGCTGGCGTGGGACAGCGCCGGGGCAGCCACCGAGTACGTGGTGTCGTACCAGCCGGCGGTGCCGGGGGGCTCCCAGCTCCAGCAGCGGGTGCCTGGCGACTGGAGCAGCATCACTATCACGGATCTGGAGCCCGGTGTTGCCTACAATGTCAGCATCTACGCAGTCATCAGCGATGTCTTGAGTGTCCCTGTTACCTCCAGGGTGATGACCAGTGAGTATCCTACTGCACTTGTCCCTTAGTACCCACGTATCCAGAGGGGACGCTCAAGCTGGCTCATTTACCATAAAAACCTCCTAGCAGGACAAACTTGAGTCTTAAAAAACAAAAACAACCAACCAAACAAAAAACCACAAACCAAAATCCAAAACAAAACTGGGGATATTTTTGTCCCCATTTATAGCTGTTCGGGGTTACAGGAAAGGGGGAAATGTGTCCACCCTCTTCAGAAAGAGTCTGGGTGAAAACCTGAATATCTAAAAACAAACAACAAAAAAATTTCAGTGCTTGACTGAAGCCCCCAGAATATGGCCCAAAACATGACAGTTTTTTGCTGATAGAAAATAAGAGATATCTCTGAGATATCTCACAGAAGTCACAGGTTCTCCTCCCACTCCTTTAAGGGTTCCCCATGAAGAATTCCCATGAGAGGGACGATAGTGCAGCAAGAGGAGATGCTGCTGTGCATCAGGAGTTACACAGTCCTGACCAGGACCATGATGCACAGAGGAAAACACCAGTATCAAGCTGTAATGGCAACCTCCAGGAAGGATCCTAGGAAATGAACTCAGGATACAGAGGGCAGGGGGAAAACAGAAACTATCCAGACAGCCTTTTGCAACCCCTTCATCCACTCTGCTCACATGATAGTGCAGTGGGATGCTTCAGTGTCCAGCAGCCCAGGCACTGCCCTCTTTTCCATCCAACCCACCTGGAGGTGGGGGGGGGGGAGGAGGGGCAAAGGAACTTTGCTAACAGCTACCAAAAGCTTCCCCATTTTTGTTGCCCTGATAACAAAATACCCACAAGAAGCAGGGTGGGGACTGGCAGCACCCACACATCCATCCCACTCTGCTCACCACCCCTACCTCTGCTCCCTTCCAGACCTCGCCACGCCGCAGGGACTGAAGTTCAAGACCATCACAGAGACGACAGCAGAGGTGCAGTGGGAGCCCTTCTCCTTCCCCTTCGACGGCTGGGAGATCAGCTTCATTCCCAAGGTACTCCCTGCTGCACTCAAGGCATCACCTAAAGCACCAAGCAAGCAGATCCTAAATCTGCTTCCAACTACCCCCTTCCCAAAATACCCAGCCTGTGTTTGCCATTGGTGGTGCTGCACATCAGAAACACCCCAAACACCGCCAGCCTGCACTTCCCCAGTAGTTTTGACATACATGTCCTCAAAGAAATTCCACCCCCCTTAAAGAAAAAACCCAGAGACAACCTTATAAAGAAATAAACCTTCCAGCTTCCCCTCCCATTTCCTTTGCCCTTCCTCCTCCTCCTCTCCCTCTCCCCTGCTCTCTAAGCTGAGCTCCCCAGAGCAGCCCGGATCAAACCGAGCAGCTGCCAGCCCTCAGACAACAACCTTCAGCATCCCCCAGTCACACGCACAGCTAATTCCTGCCACGGAATTCTAATCGCAGTGATGAACAGGTAGAAACGGTGCCAGGAAAGATGAAAGGATGGAAGATGTTGCCCTAAATATCGCGCGTTTTCCGCGCACGGCGACAAAAATTGTACATCGAGTGTTTTCATCTATATTCATAATTTCTACACCATTTAGCCATAAGTATAGCTTCAATTGTATATGGAGCCTCTTTTCAAGAGCATTCAAGCCCCAGCAGTAAAAGAAGTGCTGATTAAGGGCTCAATTATGACGTTTTCACTCGTACAAAACCCTCGCTGGAATCAAAGGCAGCTCTGGGCAGCGGAGGACTGCAGAACTTGGCCCCAAAGTTTTAAATGCTCTTAACTGTAAAGTATCATTACACAGCACAAAGCAGGGGCCCAATTGCTTTAAATAACTCAATTCCCTCATTTCCAGAGAGGCTGGAAGGTTCTTGGTGCAATGTTGGCTACATCCAAATTGTGTCGCAAGTTGAAGTTCGGCTAGTGCAGGTATAAACCCTGGGATAATTTTCATTCACCATCAGGATAAAAGCTGAAAAATAAGGCAACATCAGGGAAGAGCTTTTGGTGGGGAAAAATAGCTCTCTTTCAAACATTTCATAGGTACTTGGGAATTAAGCTTAGCAGCGTCTCCCTGAAGCAGATAAATGAGGATATATCCCTTTTAGGGTGAGGAATCACCAGGATAGAAGCAAACCTCTCCCCACAGAGTCACCAACAATAGTTTTTTTCCTCAAGCTCGCCCAAAAAATGCAAACCACTGGTCTTCCTTTCCATTTTTAAAACTTAAAAACACGTGGGAATCTTTTGGGATTTAAAGGCAGATAAGGTGCAAAAGCCTGGCTGTTCCCAGATGCAGGGTTTTGGGTAGAGAAGGGACATAACTCAGTGGGTTATGAAGTTCCCACATGCATTGGCCAAGTACAAGGTCCTGCACCAGAAAGTCACAGTCATGCTCTTGCCTGTCAGCTGCCAAAATTGGACTCTCCATCACCAGCTTTTCCCCTAAAATAAGGCAGAGGGTGCTGTGTCCTTCACTGCCTGCAAGCAACACTTGCTTGGGCGCAAGCTAAACCATTGCCACACCCAAATAAACCCCAAACCCAGCCCCAGAGGCTAAAAACAATGGAGTTATAACAGCAGTGTCACAAATAACCTCTGTGAGAAAAACTGAGCTCCCTGTCTTCCCAAAAACTCAGTGAGAGGATGCTGATTTGGTCCTCAGCATCCCCACAAGGATGCTTGCACCTTCCTGCAGAGCAGTTCTCCTTCTGGGGTGTCCCCAGTGCTCTTACCCCCCAGCCCCCCAAAATCTGGGTCAGGTGGGTATTGCTCATGTGCTGCCTGCACTGAGGATGGGATGGGAGAAAAAGGAAGCAAAGACAGATTTAGCAAAGAAAATTAGGAAAGGTAAGATGGCAATTGATGGCTAAAATGGAAGATTTCCTGTTTAATGAGAAAAGAGATGAATATGAATGGAGAGCTATATGCAAAGATTTGTTTAGTGCGTTATTAGTGAAGACAGCAGCAAGAAAAGATCCTTTGTCCAAACACTGGCAGGAAAGGTGACATTTGCAGTTGTTTAAAGCCTTAGAGCTTTTCAGGGCAAAACTGCAAGGCGTAATGAGTGTAATAAAGATGGTTAAAAAGCAGGGGATGGCAAAATAAAGACCTCACAGTTTCATACCTGTACATCAGCTACAGAAAGCTCCTGGCACCTGAAGAGCAGGGAAAAGTAGTGTAGCCAAGGCTTTGTTTTTCTCGTCTTTTCCCTTCTGGAGAACAGCAGAGACACAGATGGCAACACACAGAAGCTGAGGGGGGAATGGATGGGGAAGGATTTTGGAGCCCAGCAAGATGGGTGCTCTGCGCTTGGGGGGTGACTTCTCCCTGGGTTTCTGTACCTCCACGGGGGGATGTGATCTGGGGATGCAGGGCTGGCCATGGAAGGATGTGACGTGGAGCAGGGGGCACCTCCTCTCCGTGCATCAGTCCCCCCAAAACACCAGTTCTGTGGGGCTTTTTTTAATGCTTATTTCCACTCCCTGGCAGAATAACGAGGGTGGTGTGATCGCTCAGCTCCCCAGCACTGTCACCACCTTCAACCAGACGGGGCTGAAGCCAGGGGAGGAGTACACTGTCACCGTGGTGGCCCTGAAGGAACAAGCCAGGAGCCCTCCCACCTCCAATAGCGTCTCAACCCGTGAGTGAGCCTGACCTGGGGGAGCATGACAGAGCCCAGGGCTTGGTCCCAAAAATAAGATCCTATCAGCAAGAGCAGCCTGGCACTGCATGGGCAAGGATAAAAGTAGCAGCACCCCTGTGCCCAAGCACGGCAGCAACAGCTTCTTCGTGCAGTATTTTGTCCCTCTCCCTCCTGAATTGCCACGAGCACAGAAACCGTGGCGAGGTTAATGGGGTTGGGAGTAAAGACTCGGGTCTGCTTTTATTATATAGCTGGATAAATTCTTCTCCTCTGCTAATCTCACATTTTAGAGGCTGCAAGCCCTCAAGAAATATCTCTGTAAATGTATTACTTACTCATATATAACAGATTAAAACTCCCACCTGCTTTTGTTCCACTAAATGCCCTCTGCTCCCACCTATTCAGGCAAATCAGGCAGCAGGGCTGGGACCCAGGAGCAACAGCGTGTCCCTTCCAAACCAGTTTATTTGCCCAGTCACTGGTCCATCCTGTAGACCAAACTGTGTCTCCTCGCCGAAGGAGACGCGGCGATGGGCAGAGCTCACTGGGAGAAGAGGCTCTCCACGCCAGACCTGCTGCAGTCTGCCTTGGCAGCCAGGCAGACATCTCCTACCTCCACCCAAGCTGTTCCAAACGGAAACAGCCCTTAAATAGCTGCCAGAGGGCTGTAACAAGGTGATGCTCCTCAGGCTGCTAATTTGAGGCGGTGGTGAGAGCGAAGGGAGGGTCCCTCCACCAGCAGCAGTTTGCTGCAGGTCTGAGCGAACTCGGCTCAGTCCTCTCCTCCCGCTCAGCTCGGCGTGGCTTAACAGAGACATCTCCTGGTCAAGCCCAAATCTTCCTTTCCCTGTGAAGTCAGCACAAAATACAGAGGCTGGTACTTCAAACTAGGGGGTTGACCTTTGCAGGGAGCACAGATGGAGCGGTGGCTCCCAGCTCTCTGCTCCCTGAGGGCATCCCTGTGCTGGCATGTCTGCCTTCCTCTGTAGCACCCCCACAGCTTAATCCTCATCGTCCTTGTTCTGCCTCAACAGCTTGGGCTGGGATCAAGCATGTTTTTATGCCACACAGCTAAGCAGATGTGGATCACCTGGATGACTGGACAACGTGAAGTAGTTGGAGATTCAGGGTTTGGATAAGCATGACCTGGTCCTGGCCAAGCTGGACACCCAGCTCCTACCTAAACACTGTGCTTCCCAACTGCCCTCCCTCCTCCGTTGCTGTTTTGCCCCCAGACCTCACCCCACTGCTCCAAATTCCCCCCACGTGTCTTTTTCTAACCCTCCCTGGTCCTTTCCACTCCTGCCCAAGAACTTCTGACCCTGGCATGCAGCATTCAGCACACCCTTAATTACACAGCCATTTGCTTATATTTACACTATATTAGATGTATATATATATACAGTATAGTCTGAATTACAGAACCACAGTGGGCATTCTCACCCACCTTGTGATCACTTAAGTGAGGAAACAGGCTGGCCAGCAGGCATCAGCAGTGCCACGGCACAGGAGCAGTGGCCAGGCTGGCCCCATCCATTTATCCATCCATCCATCCATGCAGTGTTTAAGTCCTGCTGGGCTCCAAGCATCCATCAGCCAGGCTTGAGTCCATGATGTTCAAAGGTTGAGTGCTGGGGGCTCTGGAGGAGGGAAGGGCCCAATTCTCTGAAAAAGAAAACAGAAATGTCCAAAAGGGTCTCCCAGTAGATCTCTGGTATGAATTTACCTAAAAACCTTTTATCTGAGGGGGTTTGTTGGACACCCACCATAGCCCTCACCCAGCTAGTTATGAAGACTCACCAGAACAGTTGCATTTTCTCCTTTCTCCCCACAGCCAAGACATCAACAGCTCTACAAGCTGATCCCTCAGCTTAAGGACAAACCAGGAGCTGGCACCGAAGCAGGAACATTTCTAGAGATGTTCCTCAGTTCTAAATGCTTGGATCTGTCCTTGGCCCCACGTTATTTAACACATTGTCAACACCTTTCAAAAGACATAATATCGTTGCTGATAAATTTTACCAATGATGGAAAGGCCCAGAAAAGAGTAAATTGAGTGGAAAATCCTCGATAAAAGTAGTCTGGATGCTTTGGAGAGCTGGGCACAAAGCAAAGTTACACGTTTTTCGAAACAAAAGTACAGGAAGTTTATCTGGGAGCAAAAAAAAGTGGACCACAGCTGGATATAGGAGGTTTTATCCTGGGAAATACCACCTGGAAAAGCCAAGGGGGGATTGTTGCTGATAACCAGCTTGAGAGAAGGGCATGAGTTGCATTATAGCTGTAATGCTATCAGTGAGAGAGCTGCTGGGTCCACAGAGAGTGGAGCGGGTTCAGGAAAGAGCCAGGAGATTGGGATAAGGGACAGGGAACCCACAATGACCAAATTCCCTGCCTTGGGGTCGGGGCCTTGCTCATGTCACCTCTCTCCCTGTCCCCAAATGCTGATCCCAGCCGCTCTGAAGGCCAGGCTGAAGCACCCCAGAAGCTTGGCATCCCCAGAGCTTCCCCCTTTCCCCACCCAATTCTCCCAAAGTAACAGGTGCCCGTTTCCCCCCACCCCCTTCACCTCCTCCGCAGTCATCGACGGCCCGACGCAGATCGTGGTGCGGGACGTCTCGGACACCGTGGCCTTCGTGGAGTGGACGCCACCGCGCGCCAAGGTGGATGCCATCCTGCTGAAGTACGGGCTGGCGGACGGGGAGGGCGGCAGGACCACCTTCCGCCTGCAGCCCCCCCTCAGCCAGTACTCCCTGCAGGCCCTGCGCCCCGGCGCCCGCTACCACCTCGCCGTCAGTGCCCTGCGGGGCGCCAACGAGAGCCGGCCAGCCCTCGCCCAGTTCACCACAGGTAGCTAGACCGGCTTTGCTGGGAGAACTGGTGTGAGCTTTTCTAAAGGCCTGCGGCAGGCGCGGGCAGACGGCTCGCTGCGATCTGCAGACGGGCTGTCCTGCGGCGAGGACGTATCCGGAGACGAAGGGAGGGGATTTTTGCATCTGGGATTTAGTGGCACCTGGTTTGCCCCCCCGGCACAAGTGAGCTGGGGTTTGGTGTGGCGTGCTAGGGGGAAGAAGTGGAACGAAAGCACGATGGTTAAGATGCAGGGGTGAGTGGAGATGCCTGAATGCAGGTGCCTCACATCCCTCATAGAGCAAGGCAGAGCAAACGACACAGCTCCCCCTAAAATACAAACCTAAACCATCCTCTGATCCCTTTACTCCTGCCTATCTTCCTGTTTAGTCCCTAAACCTCCAGTGCAACAGGTCTTCCTGCCCTGTGCCCGCCAGGGATGCTCACATGGCCCCCAGGGCAGTCCAGGTGATCCCAGATGCCAATGACCAGGCACAGATGACTCAAACCCCCACATTTAGATGACAGACCCTGAGCCAACTCCACCTTGGCCGTGTCCTGCTGCAGCATCGAGTCTGAACCTGCCTGGGACACACATCCCCACCAGCTTCAGTGCCCGTTTAGACACACAGCTGAGCTAAAACTCTAAAAGCCCAGCATCCCTAAGAGCGCCCAGAGCTCCATGCAAAGTTCTCAAAAGAACCACAACACTCAGCACAGGTCTGAGTTCAGGGTGATGCTCCTTCCCATTCAGCACTGAGAGCCTGCCTGAGGAATCAGCAGGCAAGCAGCTGAAAGCAGCCCAGCCAGAAACACGGTTATCTCATTTTATATCTTCTCTAAACACCCTAACTGGTCAGTAAAACTTTAATTATTGTTAAGCCTGCAGACAGCTAACGGGTTTAATTTACTGTGCCATAAAGGAGGAGGCAGAGTGTGTATTTCCATGCTGGTTTATGGTATATAAATTACTTGTCATGTACGTTCCTGGTGGATACGAGGCTCCTACTGTAACAGCCGTGGTGTGTGAATTGTGTGTGTAAATATCTCTATAGATAAATATTTCAGAAGAGATGTTCACCCCGACTGATTTGCTGCGTTGGCCTTCCTCGCTTCATTTCTAAAAGGCAACACAAAAAATCCCCCCCAAACTCAGATCCATCACCATTACCCACCATCTGCCGGTGCCCAGCCCCAACCCATCGCTCACCAGAGGGTTTATTGAGCAAACCAGAGCAGATCTGGTGCACAGCCTCGGCAGCACTAATAAACAAACACTTTGGGCAACGTCTGAGTGTGAATGAGCCTGTAAACATGCTCAAGGTTCTCCTAAGAGTAGTTCAGGCCAGTGCATGGCTGCTACAGAGCCCTCACAATGCCTCAGTTTCCCTCCCTCCGCCATGGCCAGAAAACAGTTTTCTTTTCCAAATAACATGGAATTAGCTCCCAAAGCAACTTACTAAGGATGCTGTGAGTGCCCCCAGCACTCGCACCGCTCACCTGGGCAGCATCTCCCGGTCCGTGCTGAGCAGCAGGTGAGAGCAGGTATTGCAGCCCTTGCTGTGCCCTGGGGAGGAGAGACCGCCCAGGGCCCCTCCCAGGCATCACACCCGGGTCTCGCTCCCCCCTCCGCCCGTGCCGAGGCTCCGGAGTGCGTTCGGGGCGGTGAGACGGTGCCTCTCTCCCTTGTGTCGCGCAGAGATCGATGCCCCCAAGAACCTGCGGGTGGGCTCGCGGACGCCCGCCAGCCTCGAGCTCGCCTGGGACAACAGCGAAGCCGAGGCCAACAGCTACAGGGTGGTCTACAGCACCCTGGCCGGGGAGCACTACCACGAGGTCCTGGTGCCACGGGACACCGGCCCCACCACCCGCGCCACCCTCGCAGGTACGAGTGCGCCCTTCCTCCCCCTCCTCCTCCTCCTCTTAAGCAGGTGGGACAGTGGAGAGCCTAAACCAGCACTGATATACTCCGTTGCCCTTATGCTGAGGTCATTTGGGAGTTTACTGCTTACTGGAGAGAAGGTTTTCCGTGGGATGCAGCTCGTTTTCCCCTGCGTGGGTCTGGATTTGGGTGCTGCTCATCCACAAGTGATGCACCTCCAAGTAACGCGCCTCCCAGTCAGGCACCTCCGAGTCATGCACCTCCAGCAAGGATCTTCCCCGGGTGCCAAACAGAGCTGGCAAGGAGCAAAGTGAGAAATGGGGAGAAGAAGCCTTTTCAGGCTGGTCTAGAGGGAAATATTATTTCACCCTTCTCCTTTTTTAACTTGTTGGGAAAGAGATGCGGGTGATGATGCCCCGTGGGCAGTGATGGGGAGCCAGGCTGCCCGAGTTTGTTGCCTTTTTCCAAATCAGGCACAAAGCAGACCCAAATCTAGGGCTGCTATTTTTGGGCAGGTCCTTTTAAGTGGTACACAATTCAGGCCAGCGCAGGGAGTGCCACCAGGGGCTGCAAACACCACCCACCTCCCGCTGCCAGGAAAGCCCCAAACACCTCGTGCAGCAACACAGCAAAGCACCGTGTGAGATCTGGTTTCCCTTTTTTTTGTGTTTTTTTTTTCCCTACCAGAACTGCTTGCCTGATGGATTTGCCACTCTGGTGGCACTTTTTGAGCAAAGACAAGACTTACACAAAAAAAAGTTCACTCACATTCAGCTTGAAGCTCTTCAGTATGGCAGGACATCAGGTTCCTCCATGTTGACTGTTTGCTCTCCCAAGATCTTCAGGGGCTCAGGAATCTGCCACATGGAGCTGTAGGAGTAAGTGCAGAAGGAAAGTCAAATGTTAAGTTGCAGGCACAGCAGCAGAGTCACGAGAAAGGCTGGAGGGCAGGAAGGCAGTTAGAGCAGATAGCTTTGAAAACGTGGTATGCAGAAAGAAGGAAAATGTTAGGGACAGTTTGTGCTGCGTTCCTGATGAGGACACGCATGAAGAAGTGGGATGAGACTGGGGACTGGCTGCTGGGCTCCTGCTAGCTTTCCTCTAGGACATTTATTGGCTTCCCAGGTGAGAAGCAGCATTAAAAATTGGGCCAGACGCCCTCCCTGGAGCAGAGGTACAACACGGCACCAGTGACACAAACTGTGACGACACCCATGGCAGAACCTGAGCTTGCCTGGGAGGACGTGGCAGCCTGAAGGCCCCTGTTTTTCTCAGTAAAATTAAAAAAGGTGCCAAGTCTCTGCCAGACTCGGGCAGGGCTGTAAGAAACCCTGCCAGAGAAAGCTGCAGAGACGCAGAGGCTTAAAGTCGATAGCAGTGAGTGATTTTTACATAGTGCCTCCATCATCACCTAAGTGCATTGCTTCCAGCTCCCAGGGTAATAAACAAACCAATTAAAAAAAAATCCAATTATAGCATAAAATAACCCAAAAAATAATTGTGCTGGCAAAAAAAAAAAAAAAAAAAAAAAAAAAAAAAAAAAAAAAAAAAAAAAAAAAAAAAAAAAAAAAAAAAGCCAGGAGAGCAGTATTGTGGATGGCACTGAGCCTCTCCCAAAGCTCCGTTATGCTATGGACAATTCTGTCCTCCAGTCTTGCACGGGGTGCAAAACACGTTGGGGTGTGTTTCCAGCCACCCTGATGGGACCCACAGCATGGAAACAACCAGTAATTCTGTCAGCCACCTTCATCTGCCTGCAGAAAAAGCAATGAGAAATGGCACTGAGAAAGATTTAAGCTTACAAATACAGCAAGCCTTGCCCTGCCCCATAGTCTCTCTTAAAATCAGCATTTGCACAGGAGTATCCATAATGTTGCACTACCCAAAAGGGATTGCAGAGAAAAAGGATTGGTTTATATGCTCCTGCTCATTTCTTCCTTCTCCTCCCCCTTTCTCCCAGGCTCTTCTCCTCTTTTCCAGGATACTCCTGACACTTACTGGGGAGGGCCTGTAAGTGATGGGGGTCCATCTTCCCCCCCTCACCAAGACTGCCCTGTAGCAAGAGAAGAGCAAGGGATGAGGGCTTCCCTCTCTCCTGACCTCCTGAGGAAGGTTTTGGTGGCTTCAGGGGATGCTGCCCCTGGGCAAGGCAGGGTGAGGTTGGGCTGGAGGGTTTATGGCTTTTTCTAGCTCTGTGGGAAAGATCAGGAAGCACAGGGAGGAGGGGAATAGATCCACCAGCAGCCAAGCAACAGCGACAGGCAGAGGCAGATGTCCCACACAGTTATCACAGCAATCAGGAAAGGAGCTGGATGAACTCGACTCCCATGTCCCTTAAGAGAGGCACTGCAGGATCCATCCACCCCAAGGAGCAGGGCTTGATTCAGCTCCCAGGAAGACTGCACCTTTTCCTAATTAATGTGCATTTCATTTACTCTGCATAATTTATTTCTTTTCAAGACACCAGCCCTGTGACAATATTCGATGTTGCAGCACTTTGGAAACAAATATAGCTACTTTGTCATTCCCATCTCAGCTTGCACACACAGAGCTTCTGTCTCGCTGCCAGCAATTACAGCAGACCTCAGCAACGACTTTTAAAAATGTCTTGCTTCTGAGCTAAAATAATCCAAATTCCCTGTCCAAAGGCATCCACAGGGCTTTTAAAACAGGCTCAGCGTTTCTGCAATGCACGGAGGAACCGCCGACCTGAGGGAGGGCCGCTCACCCCAAGGGTGCCCCGCATGTCCTCAGCTGTGGGAGCTGGGGGGTTGCACCCTGGGGTCACCCTGCCAGGTGCTGTTCTCACACCCCTTCGTGTCTTTTGCGCTCCCTGGCAGATCTGGTGCCGGGAACAGAGTATGGCATCGGGATTTCGGCCGTGATGGACAGCCAGCAGAGCGTGCCAGCCACCATGAACGCCAGGACTGGTGAGTTTGGCCCCACTGCCTTCTCCACACACAGCTGGCTCCTGGGGCTCAGATGTCCCCATGGGACAGTCTGTGCATGGGGACAAAGCTCTGCACCACCCCTCTCCCACAGAGCTGGATAGCCCCCGGGACCTCGTGGTGACAGCCTCCACAGAGACGTCCATCTCGCTGGCCTGGACCAAAGCCACGGGTCCCATCGACCACTACCGTGTCACCTTCACCCCTGCCTCAGGGATGGCCTCGGAAGTGACGGTGTCCCGGGACGAGTCACAGCTCACCCTCTCAGAGCTGGAGCCCGGGACGGAGTACACCATCTCCATCATCGCCGAGAGGGGACGGCAGCAGAGCCTGGAGGCCACCGTGGACGCCTTCACAGGTAAGGAAAGACAAGTTGGGATGGGGCCAAGGCCACAGATCACTACCCTGTGTTGTCACCTCTCCCAGCACTAAAACCCTTGGGTGGTGATGGGGATGAGAGCTGGGGTCAGTGTGTCCGCATGGAAGCAGATCTGTTGACCTCAAAAGGAGGACAGTCCCACCAATGTGGTGGCACAGTCCCCTTGGCCAGCAGCACTGAGCATACTTGCCTGGCTGGAGGCTCCCCAAAGGACATGGCAGGACTGGGGGAACAGACAGCCCATGCTATCCTCTGTTGTCAGGGTGGTCTGTGTGTGACCAAAAGAAGAAGAAATGAAGCCTTGAGGGACCTCACAAGGTTCTCTCACTGAAAAGTCTGCAGTCATGAAGTGCAGATAACACATACCATCTGCAGTAGGACAGCTCCGTCACCTACCGTATGGGTCTGGGATGGAGGCTGTTTGCAGGCAGGGCTGAGGAAAGCACCATTTTCCCCCTCCTGGTTCTGCCTATTGATGCCAGCACAGCTTCAGATCAGTGGAGAGCCCAGAGCTCCAGCTTTGCCACCTCTCTTGGGTATTTCCCAAACAAGCACTGGGAACAATGTGGAGGCCAGGATCTGCAGACGGTTGGGGTTGCACCTCTCCTCTCCGCATTCCAGGTGTTCGGCCCATCACACAGCTCCACTTCTCCCAGCTGACGTCCTCCAGCGTCAATGTCACGTGGAGCGACCCGTCCCCACCTGCAGACCGCCTCATCCTCACCTACAGCCCTCGGGACGCGGAGGAGGCGCAGCAGGTCACCCTGGAGGGCACCCGCCGGCACGCCGGCCTGACGGGCCTGCAGCCCTCCACGGAGTACCTGGTGTCCCTGGTGGCCGTGCACGGCGCCGTCAGCTCCGAGCCTGTCGTGGGCTCCATCACCACAGGTACCACAGGACATCCCCCAGCAGGCACGGGATCCCACCGGGAGGGCGGGCAGGGGGACAGGGAGCGGACCTGCCTCCCACAGCTTTGCTTTGCGCTCCGTGTCCCCAGGGATCGATGCGCCCAGGGACCTCCGGGTGGGCAATGTCACCCAGGAGTCCATGGTGGTCTACTGGAGCCCTCCCATCGCTGCCTTCGACCACTACAGGATATCCTACCGTGCTGCTGAAGGTAAGGGATCAGAGCACTCTTGTTCCTGCCCTGGGCTCCCAGCTGCCAACCCTCCCTCCATCTGCTGGCACAAACAAGCCGCCGGGTCATCCTCATCCCAGACAGCATCCCACACCCTGGTAAAAGCTACCAATAACTGGGATGGAACAAAAGGCTACAGGGACAGAGGATGGGGTGTCAGGGAATGGGGATGAGAAGGGACAACTGCAGCCAAGGGCCAGCTTGGCACAGAGGGGCAGAGGGAGCGACCCCCTGCAGTGTGTGGTTCACAGGGATGGTTAATTCAGGGCTCAATCCTGAAATCCCACCTCCCTCATCTACTTCCACTAACCTCATCTTCCTCGGCCCCAGTTTTGCCTTTGATTCTGAGAGGGCCAAGCCAGCAGAGTGATGAACACCTGCAGACACGAAACCCAGTCACCTCCAGTACCTTGTGGCACTGCCCTCCCCTCCCGAGCACCTCCTGTACCCCAGGGGTGGGGCCGGCCGTGCTGCCAAAGCTCTTGGCTCCACCCCTGCAGGAAGGACAGACAGCACCGCCCTCCCCAAGGACGTCACCGAGCACGCCCTGCACCACCTGGAGCCCGCCACCAAGTACGAGATCGGGGTGAAGAGCGTGCGGGGCCGGGAGGAGAGCGAGCTGGCCTCCATCACCGCCTACACAGGTGGGAAGGGGCTCCTGGGGGGCAGGGAGCAACCAAACAGGGACAGCTCCAGCCCCGGGCAGGGCTGGCAATCCCTGCTTGCATTAGTAATCAGGTGACTGAGAGCAAGCTGGACCTCGTGCCAGCCTGATGCATCATCCCTATCGGGATGACAAGCAAGGCTCACGAGGCCCCAGTGTGGGCTTTTGAAATATGTCTCGGCAAAGCTTTTCCAGAATATTCATGGGTAGTCACGGGGGAAAGTGATAAACCTGCGTACCAGGCACAGGGAAGCCAGAAACACAATGTTGGGCAACCATGACAAGCTTTCCTAAAGGGAGTGCAGGTTTCCAGAAATAATCCCTGGGGAAGCCCTGTCACAAACAGCATCTGCTGCAAGAATAAAACCCTTCCCTATCCACAGACTCCTCAAAACCTAAAGAAAACCCCTAACAGCCCAGGCTGTGCATCAGGAAAACAGAGGAGAAGCAGCCCAGGTAGCAGAGTAGCACAAGCTATGACATCTCTGCACTCCAGCCTAGGCAGCAGTAACTCCTCTGCAGGCCCATGTGCCTGGGCAGTAGGGCAAGACCACGAGCAATGGGCCACAAGAAGCCCTTGCTTCACAGGGTTCACAGCCCAGTCTCTTTAACGCCTCTGACTCTCTGAATGTCTCCCCCACGCAGCCATGGATGTCCCCTTGGGGGTCACGGCCACCAACATCACCCCCACCGAGGCGCTGCTGCAGTGGAACCCGCCGCTGTCAGATGTGGAGAGCTACGTCCTCATCCTCACCCGCCGGGCAGGTACACTGGGGCTCTGCTTCAGCTCACCTCCAGCTCTCCCCCCATCCCAAAATCCAGGGCTCAGCACGTGCCCTTCACAGAGGGAATAGGGAAGGAGCCCTTCCTCTGGGTTATATAGGGACAGTGGGAAGAATAAGACTATCCTTCAGACTGAACACCAGCACTGCAGCTCAGCTGCTGCACTGCAGCCTACGGTGTTTCAGCATTAGAAGTGCCTTTGTTCATGAGGTCATACCCAGAGACACATTTTGGAGAATGACGTGGAACATTTACCTAAACCCATCCCTTTCTTTGGCTTGCAGTTGCAGGAGAAACAATTCTCGTGGATGGAGACAGCCAGGAGTACCAGCTGACCAACCTGCTGCCCAGTACCACGTACATGGTCTCTATGTACGCCACCAGCGGGCCCCTCACCAGCCAGACCATCAGCACCAACTTCACAACTCGTACGTACAATCACCTCCCCACCTCCCCCCCTTAGCCAGGCATCCACCCCAGGACAAGCAGCAGCCAGGCTGAGCCAAAGCCCTTCTCACAAACAGTGGGCACAGAAGCAGCCATGTGCCGAAAGGACACCCAAATACTAGTGCTGGGCACAACACGAGAACAGAGTTTTAATCAACAAGCATCTGCCATCATTTTCACTTTTTCAACATCCATCAACACCTTTTTATCTTTGATTTCCCCTGGATGTGGTTTCCTGAGAATACCCTTGACCAGGGTTTTTTCTAGCCCAAGGTCCAGAAGAGCTCTACAACCCATTTTGCTCACAAGCAGCTTGACATGAACTTCAGAGCTGTTACCCTTGAGGTGGCACACAGGCAGAGGAGGGCTTCTAGAGGGTTTGCAGAGCCCTGTTCTTGGGATTGGTTATGAGGTCTTGAAACTGAGGGCAAGAATGGACTTTGGGCTGTTAGCTCAGTGTTGCAAGGTTGAATCCCAGGGTACTGAGTTGGGAAATGGGACGGGGGTGGTTGCGTGTGAGAACTTTCCCCTCCCTGGGGTCCCTTTCCACTCTTGCAGTTTTGGATCCTCCAACAAATCTGACTGCCAGCGAAGTCACCCGACGGAGCGCCCTGCTCTCCTGGGTTCCTCCCGTGGGAGAGATCGAGAACTACATCATGACCTACAGATCCCCCGACGGCAGCCGGAAGGTGAGTGAGTCCTCACAAAGAAACAGCCTCATTAAGTCAGGGAATAACCAGACTATGGAGAAACGAGCAGGAGAAACCCAACAAAGCAAAACAACAATGCTCACCGGCTCAGGGAGACCAGAAGGGCAGGCACCACTCTCTGTGTAAGCGGATACTTTAGATAACTAATTGGAAAAAGAGAGAAGAGATTGCCTAAGGCAAAATGTTTATGCACACCTGTGGGTCTGAGCGTAGAGGGGATACCTGGAAAGTTTGGAGGGATGGGGGACATTCACAGCTTGTGAAATACAAGCAAGCTGAGGCAGGAGAAAATTATCCTGCAAACAGAGATGCTAAAAATGCCATTTGCCCTTCCTGTGAAAAGGAAGACAGGCACAGACAGCTAATTAATCCCGCAATACAATATATTGGATTAGTTAATGAGTGTGTCCACATCTGCCTGTCTGGAGAACTGCTACAAATGCTATCAGAAATACGTCACACCCACCAGTCTCGCTTCCTTTGCTGGTGTGACTGGCTCCCAGCAGCCAGGGGACAGTGCAGAAGGGGTTCGATAACATGTGGCACTGGCCAACAACCAGAAAAATTAACGGGATGGGAATCAACAGAGTCAGAACTGGCTGGTAACCGGGTCTGGCCTGCCCTGCTCCTTGTGCTGCTCGGGCCATCAGTCACGCCCCGTGCCGAGGGCACGCACATCCCCCATAGAGTCGGTAAACAGAGCACACAGACTGCAAACACTTAAATTGCCTGTGTCTAAACCGTCTTGCTTTGTCCCACCCAAACCACCCCAAAATGTTGACTGTGTTCACTGCCCTTCTTGACTCAGTCCAGGGGTGTAAGCAGCTCCTTGGCCAGGCACCGAGGGCTGCGGTAGTTTGTGGCTTCCCTTCCCTCCTCGCTTGCTCTTTAGGCTCCCCACCGCTTTTCTCATCTGTTGCTCTTGGTGTCTGCCTCCTTCTGGGACCCCTGTACAGGAGCTGATTGTGGATGCCGAGGACACGTGGATCCGCCTGGAGGGGCTGTCGGAGACCACGGAGTACACGGTGCGCCTGCAGGCTGCCCAAAATGCCGTGCGGAGCGGCGTCATCTCCACCACCTTCACCACAGGTGAGGACTCGGCCACACCCACTTGGGAACGGGGGAGTGAGCCCATGTACTGTGCTGGAAGGCATAGACTGCTTTTATGGGCTTTCCCTCCTCGGGCAGCACCCCATCACAATCCCCAGAGAGGTACATACAGTGCCACGCCCCACAGTGCTGCTCTGCTGCAAAATGTTAATGGCTGAGGGATCTGTCATACAAACACAAGACCCAACGCGTTTACCAGGCCCTTTGCCTTGTCCTTGCCCCTCCTCAAAGGGATAGTCAATGTCACGGACCCCCTGGTACACTCTTGCAGTGGATGGACCAGCTGGGTCTCTCCACACTGTGGACATGATCCAATCACTCACAGATGTCAAAGAACCATAGAATAGTTTGGGTTGGAAGGGATCTTCAAAGGTCACCTTGTCCAACCCCCCTGGAATAAGCAGGGACATCTTCAACTTGATCAGGTTGCTCAGAGAGGGGTCCAACTTGACCTTGAAAGTTTCCAAGGATGGAGCATCCCTGGAAGCACCAAACAGGTGCATCTCCATCGCCACCACCAGTGGGGTCACAGACAGCGGAGCCAGCACTTTATCTAATCCACTGACTTTAGCTAATTGCATTATTCCTCCCCACTCTAATTCTAGGGAATTCACAATCCACTAAGGCAACGGGAATGGTTTGCTCTCCAAATCAAAGGCAAATTCACAGTCACCACAGCCCTCACACACAGAATACTCACCCTGGCAAGAATGACACTTACAAAGAAAGTCGCCATCGCTCCCACTCTCTGCAACAATTCACTTCAGAAACAGTGCACAGCAAATGTCCCTCACCCTCTTTGCAAAGCCTGGCTAGGCCAGGGCACTTACAGACAGAGTGCATTTTGTTCAGGGCTGAATCCAATCCCATTTCTCTGGGGCTTCAAAAGCACTAAGAAGCCAATACATGACATCCACCAAAATTCCTCTGATCTGCACCGCCAATTCAATTAGGAGAGTTTTCTTTGAATCAGCTGTGGATACACTTCCCCAGCTCAGTTCCATGCAAAGGTCCCTTCACCTGCTTTTAAGAGAAAATAGCAACTACTTACATCAACAAAAGAAGAAAAGACTCAGCTCTAATGCATCTATTGAACAGCCTTTCCTGTTATTCTTGCCTCTTACATGGGCACATAAGGCCAGTGCAGTTCAGGCAGGTGATGGACATGTGCATCTAATCTTTGAGGCTGTTTGGGAGTCAGGGATGAAGCTGCACAGGGGTGGCTTCTCAGCTGGGATAATGCAGCAGAAACCCAGTCACAGCAGGCAAGGAGAGCACCTTTTCCATCAAACACAAATGTCAGACCTCAGCAGCATTAGAGTCACCATTGCCAGCTGATGCAGCATCCAACACAGGTTTAATTTGCTTTTAAGATGAAGATAAGCATCAGCAAGAAACCAGCTCCTCCCCACTTACCCCAATATCAATGAGACAGAAGCACCCAGGAACTATCACCAAGGCAGTGCAATCCACGGACACATCCCTGAGTGAAGCATCAGGATCTGGGATTCAATTTACTCTGGCAACGAATCAGGGCACTTTGCTGAGAACAAGGACTTGTCTTCAGGAAACAAAACAAAAAAAAAAAAAAGAAGAAACACCCAGGCTTAATTTAAATTGTTTTGCTTCCTTCTGCTTACAGTACACATCCTGGGGTTCTTCTATTCCCTCTGACATATTAATAGCTCGGCCTCTTTTGTTTCATGTTTGCATAAGGTTCTTGGGGAATTGTACACAGATGAGACAAAAGGAAGAAACAGATACAGTATTTATAATTTATAGTGGTTTGAAATGTCTTTCAAGGTCTCCTTGGCTCTTAAAGACATGAATATAAATTAAGAAACAAGCGATCTCCACAGAGCTCAGGGGAGCCCAAACTCGTTGTCTTTGAAGAAGTTTTCATGGTTGGATACTATGAAATGTAAACAGCGTCTCACCAGACACTGCACTACAGACCATGGAGATGGCAGAAAACAGGGGATCTTCAACATTTGGACAAAGCAACGACCTCCAAGTCTTCAGGTCACAAGGAGGGAGGAATACACACCCAAGTGGGAAGCAACAGACAAGGGTTGTATCTTGGTCCTATGGGGCACCACACAGTTGTGATGGACACACACAGCACTGAAGATCTGAAGGTTCTTCACACCTTGTCACCACGTGACTGAGACATCCTTGAAAGCCACATCCACGTTTCCAGCTCTGGACTAACTATTTACTCCATCATCCACCTGCAACAACAGCAAAGAAAAAGATGTGTTTTCCTCTTTTGCATCAAATAAGAAAAAGTTGTGCCCAGAGCTGACATTCCAGTACTGAGGGGGTCTCATAATTAAGACTGTCCTAAACTCTGGCCCTCAAATGAGATGATTCCTCATTAGAGGACACCTGTAGCACAGTCACACTGCTCATGCTGCCTGTCTCTAGCATCTCACACAGCCCAATTCCTGCCCAGCTTGCAAGTGAAAATTAGCTGAGCGTAAGTCCACCATCGTTTCCAAGGGCATGGAGAATCAGGAGAGTCCCCTTGGAACGAGCAAAGTCATAAAACTTGATTGGAGCTGGCAATCCTGAGAGGAGAACAGGTTTTGGTATTTTCACAGCTGTCTAAATATGCTGGTGACAGCTTAAACCCCAGGGTTTCAGACATGGTGCACAAAGATGGTCCAAGAAGTGACATCCCTCATCATTCATAGTGATGTTACCACGCACCTCTCCAATATAGGACATATGGGAGATAATTAATTTACGCACACATTTTTTTCCATTAAGTCCTCTGGTATTGATGGCAGATGTAAAGTCCCACTGCCTCACCGAATTACTCGGGACACAGCAGCCAAGTTCGGCTTTACCTGGATCACAACCAGTGGGGCCTGAGGCGTGGGGAAAAGGCATCTCCTTGCTTAAATTTTGCCTCTTTTTTTTTTTTTGTTTTTCCTTTTTAATTTCGCAGGAGGGCGCGTGTTTGCAAACCCCCAGGACTGTGCCCAGCACCTGATGAACGGGGACACCCTGAGCGGCGTCTACACCATCTCCATCAATGGGGACCTGAGCCAGAGGGTGCCGGTGTTCTGCGACATGACCACCGACGGAGGCGGCTGGATTGTGAGTAGCTCGGGGGTTGTCCTCATCACAGAGCAGCCAAGCCTCATCCTGCCGGCAGAGCCGAGCCCCACGCCGGGCAGGAATGGCAGCAGGCTCCGTATCGCACGCTTCATTTCCCACGCCACGGGGAATGGCCCACGCTCCGGTAATAATAGTTACACTTGGAGAAATGCCCTTTGATTTATTTGACGTGTCTGCAGTGCTTCTGGAGAGCAGAATCTGTGAGTGAAGCTGATTTATTGTTCCAGAAATGAAATTAATGGCCGGTAGCTTTCACGGGGAATGATTCACGCTGCCTGCAGTAGGAGGGTGTCAGGCATCACCCCGACTGAGTCTGCACAGGAGCACTTTAGAAACAAATGCCTCTTTGGCTTTTGAATTGCACAAACACTGCTTGTCTTGACGTAGATGGACTGACAGCATAAGTAAATAATGCCATGGTGCTTTGATCTTATTCATGTCAAACACTTACTTACACACATTACACAAAAGCCTGCTAGATGTATAGTCAAAACCAAAAAAAAACCAATGGGCTTCCTCAAATGCTGATTTCCAGCCAGTACATTTCCCTCCATCTCACTCCGCTTCAGAGCATCCCCTTGGATATCACAGAAAGAGCCAACTGAGAGCAGAATCCTGTGCTAGAAAACCAGGGGCACCATGTGCTGGGTAGAGCAGAAAGCTCAAAGGCCAATTCCTTCCTGTTCTCATATTGATTTGCCTCAAACATTATCTAACACCTCTTTTGTTTCTCCATCTGCACATGAATTAATTGCATGGCTTCAATTAACACTAACTGGATGAGCATTGCAATTTTCTCCCCTGAAAGGCACAATGGAATGACAAAGTATTATCTTCAGTTTGTGTGTCCGAAGCCCGACAGAGACATTCCTCATCTCCATCACACTGATTTTCCCTCCCCTGGTCTCCCTCCACCTCAGGTCTTCCAGCGGCGGCAGAACGGGCTGACCGATTTCTTCCGGAAATGGGCGGATTACCGGGTTGGCTTCGGAAACTTGGAGGACGAGTTCTGGCTGGGTATGACCTTCACTGGTTGTCTTTCATCGAGGTGTCAGACCCAAGCTCCCTGTGCTGCTCACCTGTGCCAGCTGTTGGCTCCTTGCCTTTCACCACATTCCTTTACTCCCTCCCTCAGACAATTTTCCTTCTGTTCATTCCCTGCCCTTCACATTAGAAGACACTCATGGACGCGTCACATAAAAGCACACAGTGAAGGTCAGCAGCTCCCTGACTTGCTCATCCTAGAAGAGGAAAGGGGTATGCTGGGACTCTTCATGGACCAAACCCCATCATTCCATGACTACAGATTGCCTTGGTGGCATCTACAGCTCATGGCCTTGGCCAGCAAGGCAGTTTTCCAAAGAAAGTAGGAAAGGAGGGAGTGGGAGACCCAGCACAGTTCTGAAATTGAGTGTGCTCCCCCAAAACCTGAACAGGAGCCAAGGCCAGCCCTGCAGCATAAACACACTCTGGCTTGTACAGGAGCTAAACAGCAACATAAGAAGCACCAGGGCTCCTCAGCTGAAGGCTCCCAGCTCCAGTAGCAGGGAGAAAGCTAAACTTGGGCCTTGAACTCCTGTCTCCTAGGCACAGAGGTGAAACTTGAGTGAGGACAGAGAGCTCAGGCCCCAGCAGTGCCAGGAGAGACACAGACTCACCAGAAGTGCTGCTGGTCTTCGATTCCTCTCCTCGCTCTCGTTTCCCACAGCTGTTTTATTTGCCTAGAGCTTTCCTTGTTTGCTCCCGGAGCGGATCCAGGCACTGGGTCTCACCAGGTGTTTCACTGTTTGCCTCCACAGGCTTGGACAACATCCACAAGATCACGTCCCAGGGGCGCTATGAGCTGCGGATCGACATGAGGGACGGCCAGGAAGCGGCCTACGCCTACTACGACAAGTTCTCCGTCGGCGACTCCCGCAGCCTGTACAAGCTGCGAATCGGGGACTACAACGGCACTTCAGGTACAGCCTCGTGGCTGGGAGGGATCTTTGGGAGCCCCGGGGGTCTGAGGCTGTAAAGGAAATCCCAACAGCAAAGCTGACTTGGTTGGAGCAGCAAGACACAAACCCATAGTCCTTTCCGCCTTCCCGCGGTCCATCATGTAAACCAGGCTGATACATCCCAATGAGCGCACAGGGAATTTTCCATTGGGGATTAGAAATTTAATATCAGAGACACTGCTGTTCAAATAACCAGGGCAGTCATCAGAGGTGCCATCCCACTTGGCAGTAACGGCAGCTGGCTATTGATGCCGTGCTGGAGGGTGTATTTATCGCCTTTCCACAGCTATGGAAAAATCTGAAAGCTTCTGCGTCATTTCCTCATGTAGAGGCCAAACAGTGGCCAGTTTTGTAAGGACACTGGCACACCTGCTTGCTTGGTTGATGCAGGAGAGTTAGGCTTTGCCCACCAAAAAACAGTGGGTGCTGGAGGAAGAGCATGGGGGGGGGGGGTTCTTTCCCAAGAAGGGGGAAAGGGGAACAACTGCAGCCCTTTAAGCTGGGATAGACGTGCCCAGCACAAGCCTCCATGACAAAACTTCACCACCATGTACTTCAGCAAGGAACCCCACACCATATCTGAGATGGAGGAATTTTCCTATTCAGTACCTAACAGCAGCCACTGGAAGAGATGCGACAGGAAACTTTCAGGACCACCAGGGAGTGTATTAAGAATGTCTCCTCTAAGGACATCACCCAGTTGTAATAATGACCATATTTCACTTTGGCCTCTCTTTCACCCAAAAGCAGCTCTCTAGTTCCTTAGCCAGGAGGTGAGATGAGATTGGTGTTTGGTGGAATAAGACATCACACACCTTCCCAAAACTTCTTCCCCTTATCCTAAGGGAGAAAAGGTGGCCAAGCATTTTGGTTCATGAATGCTGGATCTCCTTTGGGAGAAAAAAACTCCCTTTGGCTACCAGGAAGAAAGAGGCTGAAAGCATCCTGAAGTGATATAGCAGAGCCAAGCCTCAGGAAATCACAGATGCTAAAATCTGGAATTGAATTAATTTCTGGAACACTCAGATTCAGATCCAAACCCATATAGCAGTTTATCTGACAAAGATAAGCAGCCTCTGAGATTTGCTATGGTCTGCACTGATCCTAAACAGACAGCAGAGGACCTCAGATGAACCAGTTGTGAGCAATTCCAGTTCATGTTATTCCCAGACTGTCAGCTGCTTGAGCCTTTGATTGGCAGGCTACCACATAACCAGAGTATCCTAATTTCCTGGTGTAAAGACCGGATCGCTCAGAATCCATCACCTTCAGTGGCCTCTCTTTCCACAGGGGACTCCCTCACCTATCACCAGGGCCGCCCCTTCTCCACCAAGGACAGGGACAATGACGTGGCCGTGACCAACTGTGCCATGTCCTACAAAGGGGCCTGGTGGTACAAGAACTGCCACCGCACCAACCTCAACGGCAAGTACGGAGAGTCCCGGCACAGCCAGGTAAGGGCAGGGCTGAAACCCTCTGGCATTTCTTCTAGGGGCACGTGACAGCAAGCCTAGCCTGGGGCTGGGGCTGTGTGGTCACTGCACCGGGGTTGGGGGCACTGCTGGGGTGACCCCACACCAGCTGGAGCGAAGGGAGCTGATACTTTGTGCCTCAGAGTGGCTGCCATGGTCATTTCCTGTGGCATCTTGTTGTGTTGCCTTCAAAAAATATACCTACATGAAATTTGATCAGGAGCCTTTGAGCAGCGAATTAAAATAACAATCAAGCCATAGCAGCAGGAGAGTTTCTTGCTTCTGCTGCAGCAAGTTCTACCTTCCGGCTTCTCTACAGCAGTCAACCTTATTTCCTTCCTCTCCCACTCTAGTTTCTTCTTAGGGTCTTTCCTTACCCTCTGCCTTTCTCTCCCTCCTGCCAGGGGATTAACTGGTACCACTGGAAAGGCCATGAGTTCTCCATCCCCTTTGTGGAAATGAAGATGCGACCTTACAACCACCGGAACGTCTCTGGGAGGAAGCGACGGTCCCTACAGCTCTGAGCCAGCTGAACCCCCTCCTGCCTCCCACCACCTGACCTTTTCTGTCATTTGTTTGTATTTTATAATATGAAAAGGGAAAAAAAAAAATTACTACTCGTCTGAGATAGCAACCTGCCCCTCACAAATGCTGGAGGGAACCACGGCACGAGGAGAGGCCGTGGGAAAAGGAAGACCTCATTGCTTTGCATCTGTCCCAGAGAAATACCAAATTTCCAGTCTCCCTAACCCAATACTCTGACCCTTAACATGAGAAGAAAGAGAAAGGAACAGACTTTTTGATATTTTTTTAAAAGACGTAGAAATCCCCAGCAAACCCTGTTAGAATGTTTGTCATAGGGCTTGTGGCAGGAACCTTCCCCACAGGGACCTCGGTGCAGCCATTTCCACCCCAGTCACGGCCAGGGGTGCCCATCCTCTCCCTGCCTTGTGTCCCCTCCTGGCAGGGAGGTCCCAGGCTTCATGCCATCCTGTAGACACAACCCTTCCAGCAGGCAGAGGCCTATCTCTCCCCTGGGGGCAGTCTCTGAACACATGGAGACCAAGCGAGGATGAGCAAACACAAGGCTCACCCCATCCCCAGTTTTCACAGATCCCACCCAGAGGGGCTTGGCAAATACCTGCATATGTAGGCAAACTCCAGAGAGTCCCCAGCTCATGTGTTGGTCCCACCACAGCCAAAGTCATCCTTGTGGACACGGGGTGTAGGGGAACAAGAGCTGCTCCACCAGCCCCAACATGCATTATCCACTCCTCTGAGCTGAATTCATCCCGTTCCAGGTGCACATCAGCCTGGGTTATGCTGAGCTTGAGGCAGAAGAAAGGACTTAAATTAGAAGACTTGGGAGAAAAATCATTCCTTGTGGCCCCAAAGCCGAGGGTCCGTTTCCTCTGCTATTTCTACATTTCTGCCGTGCTCTCTCTCACCGAGGTCATTGGTCCCAAACCAAAGGGTCTCAAGGAGCAGCAACCAAAAGATACCACACAACCCCAGCCCAGGCTGAAGCCAACAGCTGTCACAGCCCAGGTGCTCCTGTTCGTGGACCTCTATGCACACAGGGAATGATGACAACATAGCCAAGGGAAGAGAAGTGCAAGCTGAGGAATTCACATTCCCTTCCTTCTCCTACAGCATCCCTCTTTCTATGCCATCAGAAGAGGGACACAAATCTCAGTGCCTTGGTATCACCATCTCTCTAACAGGGAATCAACTATTTCCCCTCCTGGAAGAAAGGCTTAGTCCTTTCAGATTTTGGAGCACTTCAAGGCCCTTGGAAGAATTGATGAGTTCGCTCTTCCCATCCTTAACTTCTCCTGTATCAAGGAAGATGGACCCTTTGGATAGCTCTGGCTGTGCTCAGTTGTCACTGACACCACCTCCACAGAGCCCAAATGGCCACCACACTCAAGTCACCCCTCTGCTGAGGGCTCTGATCAATGCTGGGCATTGTCACTGGCCTGGTCTGGGAGAGGGGACGCGTCCCCACGTCCAAGGACAATGCAGCTGATCGCTGGGTTGGCAGCCAGGGCAGCATTACAAATGCTGAACACTGCGTTTTCTTTTTATCACACTGAAGCTGCTTTGTCTCAAGAGCATCTTCCAGATGGCAACATAAAGGCATCTTTGCAGTAGCTTATAAATTCAGGCCAGTGTCTCTTTCACGGCCACGCTCCTGGATGTCCTGACGTTACTCACCACGGCTGCAGAGCTGAAGAGGGGCATTAAGTGGGGAGTGCAGCCTCCTCGGCCGTGCCACGTCCTGGCACACGGAGTCACAGCTAACCCCAAGGGCAGGATTAGATACAGGGCCCAGCCCTTCACATGGCCAGCTTACAAGCTGCAGCCTGACCTGGAGAGAGGATGCTGCAGCTCAGCAACATCTCACATGTAAACGAGGCATCTCTTCTTACTTCCCATCAGCATCAAATCGGGCAACAAGTGAAGCAGTTGATGAACAGGTCAGTCAGAGGCTGCAGGTGATGGGATCTCTTGCAGGACATGTCCAGTGTCACAGATGGCAGCATGTCACACATCCTGAGCACCCAGCCCTATTTTAAAGTCCCAAGAGCCAACAAAAAGCAGCAGATGGAACAGATTAAAAACTAAGAAGCCTCTTAGTAGATCGGCAGAGCAATTTTTCCCAACACCATCAAGAATTTATAGGCAAGAAGTGTCCTAAGAAAAGCTGTATGGTGCAGTGGTTATAACTAGGAGCAGGGATTGGCATTCACCACCTGGTTTGGATGGTGCTGTTTATTTACCTACCCAGGTGGAAGGAAAAGACATGAGTGGAAACATCTGCAGCTCACCATTCATAACCAAGCTGAAGGCAAGAAACCGCTCTTCTCAAAAGTATGACTCAAACAGAAAATCAAAGCACGGCAAGCTTTTCCAGGAGGTTCAAAAGGAGATCCTCAAAAAGGCTGATTATTCTCTACACAGGTTTACTGACATATATCTCTCCCTCCTTCCTTGTGTCTGTCATCCCTTTTACAAGTCCTGTAACCAGGATGAGTTGGCCCAGTGGACCCAACTCCATAGCTGAGTATGAAGGACACTCTTGGGGACAATATCCAACCTTCCAATGCCATTATATGAAAGTGCTGGTCCCTGACCTCACACATGATTCCAGGGTGTTGTCTTTCCATTGTCTTGGTGAAACACAGTTGCTAAAATCTTTTAAAGGAAAGACTTCGACAGGTCATGGTTTTCTCCTGGTGATAACCCCACCCAAGCCCAGGCACACAATCAGCAACAACAACCCGGTCATTTGGGCCATTGTCCCTTGTTCACACTGCCCACAAACAAGATACAGTTTTCCAGAAATTCATTTTTCTTCACTACCTGATGAATTTTTTTTTTCTTTTTGGACAAAGCTCTGACAGCAATTTCAAACAGATTTGTGCTGTGTTGATGCTGCAGAAGGGCAGGTGATTAACTACAGTTTCTCCTCACCCTCCATCACTCTTTCTATGAATTCGTTGTCCAGCCAGACAAGTCTGGCCCTGAAATTCCCAGAAACCAAGCCTGGATTCTGTGCAGTGCTCATCTGGACAGACCTTGGCTCCAGCACAAGAACCATCAACAGGCTCTGGTGGTTCTGCTGTTCCATCCTGGGCTCGGGTGGCCCAGGCTTGTCCCAGAGCCCACAAAGGAACCCAAGCCCCTCAATCCACTGCGAGATGCCACCTCACATAACAGGATTCCCATCTCTTGCCCAGTTTTCATTTCCCTCTGTTTCCCAGCCCACCTTCCCAACGCACACTGCACTAAAACATAACCAAAGAAAAAAAAGAAATGTCCTGAAAGGAAAAGCTGCTTTTAGCAAAGTGATCCTCAAGACAGCAATTTATAAACTAATAGTTTTGAGGAGAGAGGTCAGGCTTTCCCCAAGGTTAGGTAGGTTTTGGCAGGAGGATACTGGAAGAGCATCCACACAAAGGTTGGGGAGAAGCCTTTGCTTCTACTCCTTATCTTTGCAGTACTTTACTGTGGACATCTCAAAGTGTAGTACCAGATTAAATGCACCCTTGCTCCAACCTCTTCCCTCCTTCCCAAAGTGACGCTTACCCCAGGTGAAGTGCCAGGGTGTGGAAAGCACAGCTCATGCCACCTTCATCCCCAGTGGTGTGGCAGGTGAGGGCTCAGCCAATGGTGTCCCCGTGCCCACAACAGGCTCAGAGTGACCTGTCAAAATACAGCAGGAGCCAAAATACCTGCCTGGTGCATCACCACACCAGCACATGCCTTCATCCCAACCCAGAGCTGCCCTCCTGGTATGTCCCCACCACTGCACCTTGGGGTGACCACACACCCCCTGCCTGCCCCAGAAACACCCACAAGTTTTGACTTTACCAGACACTGCCAGCAAAGAGCTCTCACCCCATAAAAACCCCTTTAATTCATGCTTACAGCTGCTAACAAAGGGCTCTGTCCTGGGGCCAAGCAAGAAGCCCATCCCTGTTTCTGCAAACCAAGCACCCTGGGATGGCCTTAAATACAACAGAGCCCTCTGGGAACCACCAGCACTCTCCAGGGTCACCTTCCCCCTTCCTTATTAAACCCTGATGGTGGTGGCAGCTCCTTGCCCCTTCCAGAGGGGAGGTTGGGGGGAAGGGGAAGGGAAAGGCCATTCCCTGGGGAGACCCTGATGCCCAGACCCACCTTAATACCCTACCTGCAGCTCTCCAGATGTCAGTGGCTTCTCAGAAAGAGGGGGACACAAAGACCTAAACAAACAAACAAACAAACAAGCAGCCCCCTGTGTTACCCTGGAAATGCATTTAATATATTAAAAAAAAAAAATTAAAACCATAAATACGGAGGGAGAACGGAGGCAACGAACTGCCTTGGACAGGTTCTGCTGAACTTAAACACAAACCAATGCAACCAAATGAGGGGGAAGAGGAAAGCAAAGAAATGCAGAAATAAAATAAATAATATAAATAAATAATATATTAAACAACCCTCCCCAGCCTGTAATGAGAACGTAGCTCGGAGAATGGGATCGACGCTTGTTAACCATTGTTAACTAGTATTTTTAGTCCTGACCGCTCTTAGGCTATGTATAGTTCCTTTTTTTAATGCATTTTCTATACATTAATAAAAGATACTGAAGGAGTGAGCCGTGTGCCTGTCCAGGAGTGGGGTGGGAACGGGGCCCTGGGACATCCAAGCCCAGCAGCACCACAGCCCTGACCTCATGCCATGCATGTCCTGTCCCTAATCCTTGGTTATCCCATGGTAGAAGGAGTGTGGGGGGCTTGTTAGCACAGATTCCCCTTGGAACCTGGAGGAACACAGCAGCTGAGACACCAAGCACGTGCAGTGGGATAAAAAAAACAGAGGAAGTTTTGGGGCAGCCCAACTTTGGCATCTCCATCCTCAGAGGTGCTCAAGACCAGGCTGGAGAAAGTCCTGAGCAACCCCATCCGACCCCAGGGCTGTCTTGGGCAGAAGGGAAGACCAGAGACTCCCATGTCCCCCCTGCCCCAACTATCCTGTTAAAATAAATAGCAATAAAGTGACCATAAAGTCAGGTCAGCGCAGCCAGTCCGTTAACCCCAGGAAGGCAGGGAGCTGCACTTTGGCCTCAGCCCAGCACGAGATGTTTTAGTAATAATTTTAGCTGCTCCCACAAGCTGGAGAGGCTCTTGGCTCTGCAGTTTCCAGCCAGAGAAAGCAATGCCGTGGTATGAATGCTCAGGAGCAGAGAGAAACAACCCTGAAATCTTCAGTCAAAGCCATTCTCCCAGTTTAAACAGCAATCTATTCCCAACCTGATGGAAACCCCACCAAAAAAACAGATTGGAAGGCTAGTTCCAGAGGAGCATGATCCCAGTGGAAAGCAAAAAAAAAAAAAACAAACCAAACAAACAAAAAACTCGCTGGGACAAGTATGACTTCCAGAAGATTTTGAAACCCTCATTTCACACACAGACTTTATTTAAACCTCCTCATCTTCGGTTTTCTTGTTTGACACGTAGCCAGACAGGATGAGAGAGCCTGAAAGAAGCTCTTCCGCCAGAGCACTTCGATATTTTCTAAATTTAATTTCCGAGAGACAAAACAGGGCAGTTTGCTCTGCAGCAGCTTCTCAACTTCTCTTTCTCGGCCCGATTTGCGGGACACAAGAAAGGGAAGTTGTGAGCGTGGGGATGCCCCACGGCGGTCACGACCCTTGGAACACCCAAAGCCAAGCCTGATGGACTCAGACTCAGCTATCTGCATTAAATGAAACTTCTTTGTGTCTGAAGGGAGGCAATGCCGTGGGAGACCCTTCAGGCAAGCCCAGGTGGCTCTCCCTGGTGGGTGGAGGAGCTGAGGGGATGGAGATGGATTTGGGATGGGGAGGAAGGGTTACCTGCACCAGTACCTGTCATCCCAGTCTGGCCAAACTTGGCCAAGCAGTTGGCCTGGCTCAGTGGGTTTCATTTATGGTTCCTTAGAGGAGAGCAGCACCCTCCACTGTACCCCCCCATTGAGCACGGCTGGGGCCATGTGAGCACCCCAAAAACACCTCACCTGGGGGACACACAGTCCTCCCATTGCAATAACCAATCTCAAGAGGTGGGCACATGTCACTCAGAGGTTGGCTCCCAGAGAAGGCAGGTGCATGGGGAGCCACAGCGTCCCTCTGGACCATAACCCACCTCCCAAAATCAGTCACAGACCATCTCTGTGTTTCAGATGGGATAAGAAGGGGGTGAGGGCTGGCACAAGCCCTTTCCTAAGCACCCTGAGTTTTCCTTTAGCCAGGGGGGTGTTTTGCTCCCTACACTGACCCCTGGGGAGCTCCTGCCCCATCACAGGTGCCCTCCTGGCTCCAGCCCCCTCTGCCCTTGCACAGCTCAAAGCCATATCTAGACACATGCAGTACCACCCGTGGTGGGATCTCACATTTCCAGGCTCTCCAAGGAGCATGCCTTCCCAGGCACACCACACTCCCCCACGGGCACTTCCAGCCCCGCAGAGCATCGTAGCCCCCCCCCCATCTGCACTTTATACAGAGAAATGTTTCATCACAGCCCTCTTACAAAGTCCCCTTCTTGCATGAGCGATGCTCGGGAACTTTGTTCCACCAGCAAACATCAGGAGGGTGTACAAAGGTCCTCAGCAAGGACCTTGGGCATCCATCCCAAACCCAGAGAGCCCGAGCAACACATTCCCAGCAACACACCCTGCAACCTCAGCCCCAAAAACCCTGAGGGAAACACTCAACCAGGAGCACAGGGGGAGGAGGGGCAATGCCTGCAGGAGCAAGGCTGGAGCAGGTCGATGAAGGGGCAGCCTTGTGCCACGAATTCACAGTTGCTTTATGCCCTGTGGGATGGGATTTTTATAGCACCATCTTTAACATTCTCAGATTTTAATTCCCCCTCGTAAGACTGGATGTGTTTATCATCCCTTTAAAATCCTCATTCCCGTTTTTTATATTTTTAACTCCTGGGGCTACGAGCTTTAAAGCTTAGTTATGTAGAGTGTAAAAAAAAGTTATGAATTATCTCTTTTAATCAAATCTAAATGTGGGGCTTTTAAATTTCATTGATTTGTCTCCCAACCCTGGGGTGAGGAGTGCTGTGAGTAGCAGCCCACAGGTTTATCATCCCCCTTCCCTGCACTACAGCCAGCAGTTTTTCTGCTTCCAACTTGTTTCAACAAGCATAGAATCAATCCTAGAGTGGGATTGGGAAGGACCTTCAAATACCATCTAGTTTCAACCCCCTGCCTGTGGCAGGGACACCTCCCACTAGCCCAGGCTGCTCAGAGATCCATCTAACCTGGCCTTGGACATTTCCATGGATGGGGCAGCCACAGCTTCTCTGGGCAACCTGTGCCAGGGCCTCCCCACCCTCACAGGGAACAATTTCCTCCCAATATCCAATCCAAACCTGCCTTCTGTCAGTGTGAAGCCATTTCCCCTTGTCCTGTCATTCCAGGCCCTTGTCCAA